AAAACTTTTTTTTGTTTTTCTTAAATTGTTAGGCTTTATCCCATTCTTTACTATATTTTCTTTATTTCTGGAGAAGCATTTTTTATTCCGATTCATAGTTTTCACAAAAAGTTGGAAATACGAAATGATGGTAAAACAGGACGGTTCAGCATCCTCTTAAGGCCGAGGCACTATACATGGCGCATATTTCGCGCTTAGCGTCCGCCGCTTTATATCTTTTACGGAATAAAAACAGCAAAATATGGCAAAAATGCTATTTTTGATCTTCCATTTTAGTTGTATGCCACACACGCAAAACACGTCCGACCAAAACAAACACTTCTGCCAAATGTCAAGCGTAATGTGACTTGTCAAAATATGTGCGGCAGACTGACATTTAAACGACACGCGATAATTATTTTCTGACACTAGTGTCATCTATTAAAAAATCCGCAGAACTTTTCCACCAACCTAATATTAAATAAAAGGATAATTAAGAAATAATTCAAATTTTTTGCAGACAAATGACAACAGCAGAAAAAAAAAGAAAAAATTAGGACATTTCACAAGAACATTCAAGACCAAATGTATGATCAAGGACAAGAAGAAGAAACAGAAAAAATGGAAAATATGGACATAGATGAAGAAAGTATACAAGAGAAAATAAGTATGGACACAACAGAAAAATTACATGAATATGTGTATTTAAACATTTTCTAATATTGATTAATTATTTCTATTTGACTCTCGCGATGATCGTGATCGTAAGTCGGGTTTGTAATGTTCTATCACACTGGTCGGTTTGCCAGACATGACCAATGCGATTGAACAATATGGATACAGCCAGCGCTCGCGATCGTTGCGGGCGCCAAATGAAAGGAAGAATCAGAGATAGAACTTATTTAATATGTGGTCTATAACATATCATTATTTTACTGTATATAATAGGGGAGACTGGGGTTGGATGTGACAGGGGTAAAAAGTTATAGTCTTGATTAGTGATAAAAAATAAGTGCTACAATAAAGCTAAAAACAGACAAATGCTCGTAACAATATCAANTATCATGCTACATACATCGGTAACGCCATTGTTGTTACCAGGCGAGTATGTGCATACAGCTGTAAAAAATAACAGGTTTGTAATCTTTATTCTCGTTCGTAAACTTGGTCTAACATTATTTCTATTAGAGTTTAACTAATGTGTTTATGTAATACTTGATCTTTGACATCGTCTAGTTGTACTACTACAATCATTTTATGCCAAAAATATCTCTATTTTTTTTGTCGTATCTGGAATGTTCGATTTTAATGTTAGGGTTAGAAGTTACAAATTGTTGGGGTTAGTTGTGACATGTCACAACCAACCCCCTATTGCTTGAGAAACTGAATAAACTTAAATTGTTTGTCTTTTTCGAAGAATGAGAACTTACAGAAGGAAGACCGAACGCGGTACCAACTCAAAAGACTTGTACGAAAAGGCTGCAATGGTTCTGAATGAAGACAGCACCAAAAAAATTCGTAGCGTCGCAAAAGATTTTGGGTTATGTCATATGTCACTTACCAGGTATTTGAAGAAAAAGAAAGCAATTTTAGAAAGCGGAAATTCTATAGCTTCTCTTACAGTCGGTTACAAGAAAAATAGACAAATTTTCAATGATGAACAAGAGGTTATTTTAGTGAATTATCTCATCAAATTTTGTCAAATTTATCATGGGTTGACACCAAAAGATGTTAGAAGACTGGCACATGACTGTGCATGTAAACACAATATTCCAATGCCAAAATCATGGCATGACAACAAAGAAGCTGGTGTGGACTGGCTAAATGCTTTTTTAAAACGTAATGGGAAAAAAATATCAATAAGATGTCCAGAAGCAACAAGTTTAAGCAGAGCAACTTTATTTAATAAAACAAATGTAAACAATTTTTTCTTGAAGTTAGCAGAGGTAATGGATAAACACAAGTTTCCTCCTTTTCGCATCTGGAATGTTGATGAAGTAGGTGTAACAACTGTCCAAAAACCAAGAAAAGTTTTAGCTCCAAAAGGCTCAAAACAAGTTGGCTCCGTAACATCAGCTGAAAGAGGAACGCTTGTTACAGTTTGTGTAGCAGCAAATGCTGTCGGAAACTCAGTTCCTTGCATGTTTGTCTTTCCGCGGATTAAATATAGAGACTACTTTGTTCGTGATGGGCCTCCAGGATGCATAGGTGCTGGAAATTCGTCTGGCTGGATGACAGGAACGGAATTTAATATTTTCATAGAACATTTTATATATCACGTAAAGCCGTCTCCTTCTGATCCAGTGCTTCTATTACTTGACAATCACGTTTCACACTTGGACATTGAAGTAATAGAAAAAGCAAAGAATAACAATGTGATATTGTTGTCTTTTCCGCCTCATTGTTCCCACAAGCTCCAGCCAATGGATGTTGGTGTTTACGGACCTTTTAAAAATTATTGTGCTAGTCAACAAGATGCTTGGTTAAGAAACAATCCTGGAAAAACGATGACTGTGCATGATATTCCATTCATAGTTAAAAACGCTTTGCCTCAGGCATTGAATCCAAATAATATTATTAATGGATTTAAAAAAACCGGCATTTCACCATATAACAAACATATTTTTCAAGAAACTGACTTCCTGCCTGCATTTGTCACCGATAGACCACTTAATGAACAAGAAAATCTACAAAGTGTTCAGAATAATGATATTAGTATCAATTACCCGACCAAAGACACTTCTGAATCAGGAAATCANGGAATTTAATATTTTCATAGAACATTTTATATATCACGTAAAGCCGTCTCCTTCTGATCCAGTGCTTCTATTACTTGACAATCACGTTTCACACTTGGACATTGAAGTAATAGAAAAAGCAAAGAATAACAATGTGATATTGTTGTCTTTTCCGCCTCATTGTTCCCACAAGCTCCAGCCAATGGATGTTGGTGTTTACGGACCTTTTAAAAATTATTGTGCTAGTCAACAAGATGCTTGGTTAAGAAACAATCCTGGAAAAACGATGACTGTGCATGATATTCCATTCATAGTTAAAAACGCTTTGCCTCAGGCATTGAATCCAAATAATATTATTAATGGATTTAAAAAAACCGGCATTTCACCATATAACAAACATATTTTTCAAGAAACTGACTTCCTGCCTGCATTTGTCACCGATAGACCACTTAATGAACAAGAAAATCTACAAAGTGTTCAGAATAATGATATTAGTATCAATTACCCGACCAAAGACACTTCTGAATCAGGAAATCAGTTACCAGAAAATGTAAATTCTGTTTATGACAATCCAGTTCCAAGTCCTAGCGGTTTGAATACGAATTCAAATCAGATTCAAATATTTTCGCCAGAGACAATCAGGCCGTTACCAAAAGCAGCTCCCAGAACAAAGAAGATTACACGTAAGACTCGTAAATCAGCAATATTAACAGATACGCCTGAAAAGAATGCGTCGAAGCCGAAGAACAGAAAAATAAAAATAAAAAAAATAAAAAAAACCTGCCAAAGATAAAGGAAAAAAGAAATCAATTAAAAAAAAAATTTTGCAAGACTCTGAAGATGAATATGATAAAGAAGAATATTTTTGTCTGATTTGCTATGGACCATTTAATCAAAGTCGAGCTGGAGAAGAGTGGGTGCAATGTGTTACTTGTAAGAAATGGTCACATGTGAAATGCGTGAAAGGCAGCACTACATTTTATGTCTGCTTGAATTGTGATAGTGACCACTCAGATTAATGCCTTAATTTAAAAAAAAAATAATTTTATTTTTAACTTATTAAACTCTTTTTTAAAAGAAACATGTTCACTATATTTTTACATTTTGTTGATTCTATTGAGTTTTTAATAAGAAAAGAGTTTACTGTTTTTAAAGTTTAATAGATTCTTTTGTTATTAGAATATAGTATCTTGTTCTAGATATAATTATTATAGTATTTTGTTCTAGATATTAATATGTAAATGAAAAAACTTTCCTATCAGTTTAATTAAGAATACGTTCAATAAATGCCTAAGATTAAGAAACTTATTGTTGTCACTTTTTACCCCTTACGGTGTCACAACTAACCCCAGTGACGGGGCAAAAAGTTACAATGACAGATTTTTCAAATTCATTAATTGCTGATAGTTATAAGAAAAGTACTCTTAAAATGTATATCGCTTTTTAAAGCTAATAAACCACTTTATCTAATAGTGCTAAACAAATCCTAAAAAATTACGCAGGCAATATATACAACTACATTTTCTTAAAAATGTCACAACCAGCCCCAGTCTCCCCTACAGTACATTTTATTGTATACTAATACACACACATACACACACACATTTGATATAATTATATTGAATAATATTTATAATTAAATGGAATCATATATACAATTGTCTCAATTTCTTACTCTCACATACACACATATTATATGTAATTATATGTGCTTATAAATACTTATAATCAAATAATTTAAATTAAATTTGTTTATGATAAATTAGATTACATTTGTTCAAGTATGCAAAATGTATATTTTTGCGGCATACATATTACAACAGAAAAATAAATAGACTTTTTTATCAAAATAATATTTCAAAATTATAAGTAAAATATTTTTTAGCAATTTACAATCATCGCAAGCAGTGCTGTCAAGTGATATGGATGTTAACATGGAAATAGCTCAACCGTAAGTTATTATATGTATTACATATATTTTTCTACTTTAGAAATATATTTATTTTATTTGTTAGAAAATATATGTATATGGAGTATATAAAAATGAAAAAATATATTTGTGCATAAAATGGCTGCGTTCAGTAGAACTCAGCGCTTGGCAAACGCTTTGGAATTATTGATTGTCATTGGCATATACTTTTATATTTAATAAATAGATTTATTGAAAGAGACCAATCACAGACAATAAGTGCAAAGCGTTTGCTGAGCGCTGAGTTCTGCTGAACGCAGCCAATATATGTTTATATATATTTAAAAATTTAACTCTCTATACGCTTTTTTTAATTCTTTTTTTTATTCTTCTTTTGTTTTTAATGTTTGATCAGCCTAATTATGTATATTATTGTATCTAGAAGCACATCCAATATAACAACGGCACCGAAGAGGAAAAAAATCCTACTAAAGAAGACCTACATAGAACTATTAAAACCTTGAAAGCAAAAACAAAACTACTACAACAAAAAGTTCGACGACTTCAAAGAAGAGAAAAGAAGATCTTAGCCACAACAAAAGAGCAACAAACATCAAAGGTAGAAACTAAAGAATTAGTATTATTAAAAACCTTAGGAAAAAAGTATTTATCGGAAAAATTTAATATATTGTTATCAGCACAAGTAGACGCGCAGAAGAAGAGTAAACGTGGGATGCGATATGATAATGAATTCAAAAAGTTTGCATTATCAATATATTTCTTGAGTCCGCGAACCTATAAAAAATTGGAAACAAGATTTACTTTGCCTACTGTACGTACATTACAATTATTTACTGACAAGTGGAACATAGTGCCCGGTTTTAATGAAAAAGTGTTCAAAGCATTTAAAATTAAATTACAGTTATTACCATTTATCCAACGACATTGTATATTATGCGCGGATGAAATGAGTTTAAAATCTCACTTATTTTATGATATTTCGCGAGATGAAATTATAGGATTTGATGATGTAGGAATTTATAAATCTGCAATACCTGCACAAAATGTCTTCGTTTTAATGGCACGCAGTATTGCAGGCAACTGGAAAGTTCCACTTTGCTATTGTTTTGCAGAGACTACTTGTGCAAGTATTAAAACAAATTGTGTTTGAGTGTATTACTAAATTACAAAATAGTGGCGCTATTGTGCATGCGTTAGTTACAAATATGGGTTCTAATTTTCTAAAACTTTCTCGCAAATTACATATTTCAACAAAAAATTCAACATTTGTAGTCGGTGAACACAAAATATTGTATATTTTTGATACTCCGCATTTAATAAAAGCTACGCGTAATAACTTGTACAAACATATTTTAAAATTTAATAATAAGTTTGCGTCATGGTCATACATTAGATAATTTTATTTAAAAGATAAGGAACAATATATTAAAGCAGCTCCTAAATTATCTCTGTGTCACATAGATCCAAATAATTTTTCAAAAATGAAAGTCAAATACGCAGTACAAGTACTTAGTAACCATGTAGCTGCTGGTATGTGCACGCAAATGTCTTCAGGTAATCTTTCATCAGAAGCATTTGGAACGATTGAATTTTTTGATCGTTTTGATAAATTATTCGACATATTAAATTCTTTAATCTGAAATTAATCCTAAGGAATATGGTAAAGTTTTTATTGGAAATAAAAAACAATTACACTTTTTAGAAGAAACAATTCAAGTTTTAAAAAATATTAAAGTTTTTAACAATGAAGGTAAAAGTATAAAAGTTAAATGTTTTCAGTGCTGGCAGATTACTATTAATAGTATTAAACAATTATGGAAGGAATTAAAACCTTATAATTTTCCATCTACAAACACGTAGAATAAATCAGGATTGCCTTGAAAATTTTTTTGGTTCTATTCGGCAACAAGGAGGCATTCTTTAAACTCGACTCCAATACAATTTGCGCGTGCTTTTAAAAAATTATTTAGTATAAAATTATTACAACAGTTAGATACGACAAATTGTGCTTTTGACTCAGATGACATGTTAAATCTTATGAAATTAACTAATGTTTATTATGTACTTGTCGAATTTAATAAAGTATCTACGCGTGCAAGTTTAGATATTCCGACACATGATTATCGTGCGATATTTAATAAAAAGATGTAAAACAATTCATTCTTGTGAAACGTGTACAACTTACTTAATTCAAAACGATAATAATTTAAATGAAACAACATTATATTGCTCTTTCCGTAATGAAAACTATGAATCAAAAAACGGAGAATTTTTTGAAACTTTGCATATTCCAAGTAATAATTTTTGTTTATACATACAAAAATTAGAAGAAATATTTGTTAATAATTTTGAAAGTAATTGTTATAAAAAACATATTGGTAATTATTTACTTTCTTTAGCGCAGAACATTACTTTTGAACTTCCATGTCCCGATTTCACTATACAATTTCTTATAAAATTATATCTATGCATGCGCATTTATTATACATTGTTGCAACACAATAAAGCATGGAAAGAGATTGGGAAGAATAAAACTTTTGAACATTTTGCATTTATAATACTTTTTTTTATAATCCTTTTTTCTTTTCTTGCATGTGTGTGTGTGTGCGTGCATGTTTTACAATAAATTAGCTTATTAATTTGTACACGTTTATATAAATAAGATAGATATAAGATATAGAGTATAAGTAAGTTATACTCTATATAAGTAAGTTAGAGAAATAAGATATAGAAATAAGAATAGTCATAATAGTGTATTATTATAATAACAAGATATTTTTTTATTCAGATACTGTTTCCCACATTTCATATCGCTGGGGATAATGATGAAATGACTTAGAATATAAAAAGAATAACAACTGTGTGAAAATAGAGTTAAGTTTCTTTTATCTCTTTTTTCTTTTTTCTCTTGCTAATTCGTTTTGAGGTAGGCCGAGTAGCTAAAGAACGAACTAGTAAGAGAAAAAAAGTTAAAAAGAGATAAAAAGAAGATAAATACAATGAGTATAACTATTAGGTAGGTATATATTAAGTAGATATAATATAGCTTTATAGTGCTAAGAATATTATGTAATATTATATAATATATATATACACACAAATAATTGTATAATCTAAATAGATATTTAAATTATAAATGCCCACACAGAACAAAAACACCATTAGACGTCTATTAGACGTTGACAGCTCCATGCGACATCTAATAGATGTCTAATGGATGTCTGTGTGAGTGCATACATATTTATAAAAAAAATACTCTATATTTTATATTGAACATATTATATATATTTTATATGTAAATATTATATGTAAATTTTATATGTAAATATACTTAATATACAGGGTGTCCCAGAATTGGTTTAACATCTCTCATACACAGGTAGAAGGAATAAAACTGAAGTGAAAAGTTCTATACCATTTTGCTAGATTCGCAATAGTTACCGAGATTTTAATTAACAAAGATCCGCGAATAAGCGTGCATCGGGCTGTCTTACGCGCGTAGGACAGCCCGGCGCGCTTCACACAATTAC